GACGCGATTGCCGCCCGTCAGGTTCGAGATGGCCCAGTTCATGGCCCACAGAGATTGCTAGATGAACTGGGCAACTAACCGCTTCCGACGCTCGACGGCAACTGAACTGTTGGCCGGGCCAAAAGGCAAAAGTAGGATGGTCGTTGCAACCTTCTTTGCACATACTAAATATACACAATCTTGGGCTGCAAAAAATTGATTTTGTCTAGTGATTTCAGCCACGCCTCGCAACTTGGACTAGGCCCTGCCGTCTGTCAATCAATGAATTCCCCTTCTAAGGCTGCAAAAAAAAAACGGAAAAGACGGCCAAGTGTCGCTTTTCTCTCTCGCTATTTATGCCTTTCCCCAGTGCATTTGTTTCACACATTTTTGTTGCAGTTTATATGTAATTTTCCTTTTTCCTGCACTTGCACCCGTTTCCGGCTAATTCAATTAGAGTTGTACTAAGTGCGCTTCAAGGCTGTCGGAATGCACACGCCGTCGACGGAACAGCGAGGGTTGCTAATGAGGTATACTACTTAAAGAATGCACTAGTACCTGCGTGGAATTCCCTTCCCAACATATTTTCACCTGTGCAAAAGTCACTCTTCTGGAAAAAAAAAACTATTTTAGACCCCAAATGGGACAGAAAACCTTATATACCTAAGTATTATTATAAACTGAAAGCCAGATTTTTTATCATATTTTCTAAATATTTAATTAACTGAAAGAATCGTATTATTTCAAAACCCAAATGGTCTAGAAAATCTTATTAGCCTAAGAGGTATTACAAAACTGAAAAACTGGATTTATAATGTAATATTTAAATTTATATATAATATAATATTAAAATGCGTTCTTATGATATGCATGAACTAATGTTAAAATATTTTTTAAGATTGTTTTAAAATATAAATTTGAATGCAAAAAGATTTAAATGCATTTCAAAATATAAACTACATTGAGAACCAATATTCTCAAAAAAATGCTGTTTTAAATAGATTGGTAAAACTATTTTAAGGTTAGGAACACATATAAGCAATATATATTATACAAATAACCCTAAATTCTTTATACATCTTTAAGATACATTTCTCCCAGTGGAAGTAAAAGCCCTACTCGCTGCGAGAAAATCGATTGCTTTTCTCTTGCCACATTTTTAATTGTTTTGCCTGCTCTAATGAAAGCCCGCTCCATTGGAGGGCGATGACGTCCAGCCCAGTCCACCCAAAAACGGGGGAAACCCTTCCCCAGATACCTCCGTACTCGTATGATGTTGTCCTCCGCTGGCAGAGCCATCAACTGATGTGTACTTTTCCCCTTTTTTTGGTGTATGGGGTGTGACATGTGACACAATTTGTTTGTTCTTTGTTGCTCTCACATCGTTTGTTTTTTGTGTTCCTTTGCCTATTTGGATGCTGCGACAGTCCACAAAAGATTGGCCCCTGTGTGTGCACATGTGTACAATCGTACATACATATATGGTATACTGTACCCTGGTATATAGCTCTTACTAACGACTTTAGCATCTGGCTTTGCAGGCAAAAAAGAACGATACACGTAAGCATCAAATTGTCAGTGGGATGTGCAGACTTAATTTATCCAGTCGACCAGGGAAGCTTTTATTTCACCCTCCTAACATCGATGTCTGTTTCTAATCAACTCGATTTCCGCAATTTGCCACCGCTCGATTTTCCTGTCTAATCGCTAAATTGTGCCTAATTGGGTTTCTTTCCGAACTTTATCCCTTTAATTGGCGTAGTTTTGAAAGAGATAACTTGCATAAGTCATGGTTTTACAACCCTTAAGATGGTACCAATCTATATTAGGGATCGAAAGGCAGAAACAGATGTATTCTCAACTTTCCAATCCATACTATTTAAGTAAGGGCTGAAATTAAGAAGCTAATTAAAATGGCATTTTGTCAAATACAATGAGCATAATCATTATAATTAGCATTACATAAGCCCAAGTCAACAAACATCCTTGATCTAAAATATATTCCCTTTTGACAAGAGATAAATAAGATGTACTACCTTTCTATATTAATGCTTTTTGCTTTAATGTCAATTTAAATTTTGGACACATTCTTTCACATAAGACTTACCTAAAACTTTTTCAATTAAATAACAAAGCTAAGGGTGAAGTTCCCGAACACCCCAATAAAACAAAATTTGGAAATTTTCATCCACCATCCTCACAGGTAGGCTAATCATTCCAGTCTCTTAACAAACCCTTTTTTGCATTGGTGTATCTAGAAGGATTTTATTCATTGTCCTTTGAATTTTAAGAAGATCTAGCTTCAAAATGAAATCCTAAATAGTGGTTGAATGTCTTGAAGTGGTAATTTACTGATTTTGGTTGTACACAAAAAGTTTGATGGTTCTTTTTAGAAGTCGAAAACACAATATTGTTTTTAAGGGGTTGTTATACCTATTTTTTGGTTAAATGATTGATGGCATTGTTCGACAATATAAATGATTAAACTTACTCAATGTTTTTACATTTTCAATTTCAGTTTCATTTCAGCAAGGCTTTTAAAATCGAAAGATTTTTTTCATTTTTTAAATATGACTTAAGACTCTAGAAAACGAGTTTAAATAAAACTTTTCTTTCATGTATAAAAAATCGTGAACAGTACTAGTGTATAAAGCATATATAAACAGTACTAGTGTATATTCATATGAATAAAAGTCCCAGAAATCTCGCTACAAATGTATATGAACCATTAAATTTTTGCGCACTAATTAAGAACGTTCAAATAAAAAATCCCAGAAATCACGCTACAAGTGTATATGAACCCTTACATTTTTGCACACATATTGAATGTTGAAATAATGGAATGAAATAAATCGCGCTAGAAGTGTATATGAACCCCTAATTATTCGCACACTAATTAAGAACTGGAACCATGAATGAACAGTGCGTTCAATGGTTCGATATTACCGACCCCTATTTAAGCTTTCTTCAGCTTCTTTTTAAAGTCCGAACAGCTAAGTGGTATTTTGCATATTCTAGAACCAAATCGAATACATTGTGGTAATGAAATTGGCAAGTTCGTTAAACCTGCTCTTATCTCCAGAATTCCGACCCTGCTTGGAGGCATAAACAAAAGAGGAAGGAGAGAAAGAGAAGGGTAGAAGAAGGGGAGAAGGAGGCGAAGACGAGCACGAAAATAAACGCAGTGCAATGCAATCAAAGTGCAGCGATGGCCTTGCGACTCCGATTCGTGGGAAGAAGAAGAAGACGAAGAAGGAGAAGGAGAGGACGATCACGCACACAAACAAAAACCGCACACTCACACATTCGCACTTTGGATTACTTATGGAGTCGGTGGGCAAGTAAATCAAAACACTTGCGACTTGGTAACCACATTTGAGAAATCGATAAAAATGCCCATTGATTTTCATAGGCCGCAATCACAACAAAGAAATGTCTGATACGTAACTTAGCCATGGAGTGAGTGGGTTGTCCAAAGTAGGGTTTTATATAAGGGGTAACTTTGGCTTTACAATTATTAAGGCTCTTTTATTATAATATTCTTTGATATTGTTTTCTTTAGCCAGTCTTTGCAGTGTTTATCAAGTTTATATGTTAGGTGGTCAGTTAGGGGCCCTTTTGCAGGGTATTTGGGGGTCTACTCCTGTGGGAAGTGCGACGAAAAAAGAAATTTCTGTCGGCGAAACTGCGAAACGAGGCCAATTGGCAAGAGGCCAAATGGCGACGAAAAAGAGCAGCAGACGAAAAAAGCAGAGGACACCGAAGACAAAGCGACGCAAGAGACCCACCAAGTGGCCAAGATATACCCTATGTATGGTATTTTTTTCTGCTTTTCTGGGCGAAACTACCTTTTTGGGGTATGACAATGGGGATTCGGGAATGGGATCTATTATATGGTGGCATTACAGAACTCACCCCATCAGCCAATCGACCGTGTCGCGTAGATATTCCGGAATTCGCTCCAGTTTGACGGCTGTTTTTCCTGCTGCCTCCTAATTTTCCAAAAGTTTTTCCCCAGCTGAGGAGCTTACGCACACACTCTCACCAACCGACCGACCGTCCGACACACGCACACACACACACACGCTCACGGTTAGCGGTACGCTCACGGACACGGCACGCACACCACCACGCCACCAGGATGTGGAGATCACCAATTCGACACTTTTACTTTCGTCAATCAATAATTGGGTGAATTGGTTTTGAAACTTTGCACATCAAATTTTCCTGCTTCTTCTTTGCTTGTTTGTGCACTTTGTTGAGTCCCGTTATCGATGCGAAGCGATAGCAATCGATAGGCAACGACTGCGCACTCCGTCGATAGCAGCTGCGCAGGGTTTTGAGGGGAGGGTTTTGGAAGTGTTCGAAATTCCGGAATTACCTGTTTTGGTTCACCTTTTGATTCGCAGTCGCCAGCTGTTGGCTGATAATTACATTTTCGGTCCTATCAAATTGGCAACTGCTGTTTTGAGCCTGCAGCCCTGGTTGTTGACAATCAGCTGTGTTACAGCAGGGGCGTAACGAGGGGGGATCAAAATAAAAAACAAAATAGTTGGCAGATATATATGTTATAACTCCATTCTGATTTCATCTATAAATCTCAATAAATGTAAAATTAAAACTTCACTTACCCCCTGACATTTTATTAGATTGCGCCCATGCAAAGCAGCTACGTCTATCAAAAGCTCAAAAAAAAAAAAATCATACAAAAATACAGCATTTTAAAAAACTGTAAATAATAATTAAATTTAACAAGTAACAATTTCTAGATAAATTATTACCTAATTTCTAGTACAATTACTTCTGTTTGAAGACCGGTGTCGATAATACATTTCCGAAAAGCGACAACCCTAAAACTATCGATTACCCAACAGCTGGCAGGCAGGCCATGCAGATCCACTAAAAATACAGCTGTTCAAATTACATAAAAATGGTAATATTTAAATCACATTGTTTTAGTCAACAACAATCGTAAATCACTTCGAATTTCTCCTTTCCTATACTCTCAAATTGACTGTGCTATGGCCACCAATCCGAATATTTCCCTTCCGAAGGCGAGCTCCGTAATTCTGGCGGGACTTGGAGTGGCCGCCGTGGGCTTCGCCGGGAAGCACCTGATCCGCCGGATGCCCCAGATGACCACCAAGTTCAACGAGGCCCTCAAGAACCTGCCCAAATTCGATGCGGAGAGCATGGCGGCCTCTAAATACTACAAGGGCGGTTTCGATCCCAAGATGAACAAGCGGGAGGCCTCCCTCATCCTAGGTGTCAGCCCCAGTGCGCCGAAGATCAAGGTATAACGCTGTATTTTCACTTTGAATATGTAGATACCGGGGTTCAAGGATCCTCATATTTTTGGTTGAAACATGAGCTGCCTAATCTTTAGAGTCTTCAAATATTAGTCTAGTTTTTATCCAATAGCTTTGGTTAAAAAGAAACTAAGTATATAGTGAAACGTACTAGTACTACCTCTGTTCTTAGAGAAGTTTTTTTTTTAAGCTAAGGCAGAAATGAACTATCCCATTTTATTACAGTAGTTTTCTCAGTTTTCTTCTTAAGATTTGGTATTATTGATTCCAAGCTATAATAGTTTGAATTTGTTTTTAAGTTCTCTCTATTCCTGGTTACTTATTTCTACAATCTCTTTCAGATCAAGGACGCCCACAAAAAGATTATGTTGCTGAATCATCCGGATCGAGGGGGCTCCCCCTACTTGGCGGCCAAGATCAACGAGGCAAAAGACTTTCTAGACAAAGCCAAGTAGTCATCCTACCTCCGCCTTTGAGTGCAAATAAAGTAGTTTGTGATTAGCATGTAAGATGAAGTCTTATGCGTTTTATTTCCGTTCTTAACGTCTTTCTGTTCAACCAACAGAACAATTTCAATGGCTGTAATTTACCTTTACTCTGAACTCATACAATTACTTAAAACTGTATTGTACCTCAAAGATTTATAACACGAAAAGTAGCATGACACTTGGAATTTTTTATTACTACTTAGGTAGGTACATGTATATTTGAATCGTTGCTAGCATACTGACTGAAACGTTTAAACAATTTAGACAACCAAATTTGAAAGGTAAATGTGTATGAAACAGCAATATTTCTGGTAGTGAAATGTGACTATATAAGGCGGATAAATAAAGTAGAACACTGACCTGTATATCTTCATAATAAAGTTATTTATTGAAAACTTAGGAATTGGCGTTTGTTCACGGTAATATGATTATATGACTCCAAAGTAGGCTTGCTTTTTAAGCGAATTCTATATAGAGGCAGCCATTTCCGAGTCCTAGATAAATGTGATCCGGAAGACACACGCACTCGTAGAGCCAACAGTGAACCAATCTAAACTTGCAAGTTAGGAGCTCTCCCAAATCACAATCTATGATTCAATGAAAGTTTTTCATTACATACTTATAAATAACATATCTTAAGTCTCTTACGAATTCGCATCATTGGATTGTGCATCCCATAAACTACGTTAATGCTTAGACAGGCAATCTGAAAATTTACCAAGAACTTTACAAACCACTCCATTGGTCGTGTATTTACGTACTAAACGATTTTATTCGTTTTCAACAAGTGGTTAAGAATGTGTATAATGTAAAATGTTTATATTAAGGTAAGCGCAATATGGGAAAATATATCGCTGTGAGCTTGAATTGCAACTTGCAGCTTGCACAAAGTTCTCTAGTATTTATGAAATCAAACCAAAAGCGTTAATAGTCTAGGAGAGTCGGGTGTCTTAACCAGTTTTAAAACAAGGAAGAACGCTATAGTCGAGTACCTCGACTATCAGATACCCGTTACTCAGCTAAATGGAGATATGCAAGCAGCAAAGCGAGATTAAAATGCGCCACCTACCAGCGGTATACAGATTTAAGCGTTATGGGCGTTAGAGTGGGCGTGGCAAATTTTTTGGATCAATCGATAGATATTGACGAGACCAATACATTTCAGTTAAAATTTTTTATCTAGCATGAAAATTGTGGGCGTCACAGGTTTTTGCGGTTTGTGGGCGTTAAAGTGGGCGTGGCAAACTTTTTTTTGAGTCAATCGATAGGTAATGACGAGACGAATACATTTCAGTTAAAATTTTTTATCTAGCATAAAAATTGTGGGCGTCACAGGTTTTCGCGGTTTGTGGGCGTTAAAGTGGGCGTGGCAAACTTTTTTTTAGGTCAATCGATAGGTATTGATGAGAACATTACATTTCAGTTAAAATTTTTATTCTAGCATCAAAACTGTAGGAGCCACAGTTTTGGGCGGTTTGTGGGCGTTAGAGTGGGCGTGGCACTCTACTGAAACAAACTTGCGCTGCGCAGGAATCTCAGGAATCTGCGTGCCTAATCCCAGTATTGTAACTCTCATAGTTTCCGAGATCTCAGCGTTCATACGGACAGACGGACAGACGGACAGACGGACAGACGGACAGACGGACAGACGGACATGGCTAGATCGACTCGGCTAGTGATCCTGATCAAGAATATATATACTTTATGGGGTCGGAAACGCTTCCTTCTGCCTGTTACATACTTTCCGACGAATCTAGTATACCCTTTTACTCTACGAGTAACGGGTATAATAAATAAGCCTCCAAATGGCGTTAGGTGTTATTCCTTTGACCCTTATTAAATAAAAATCGAATAGGTTTTGACAAAAACTGACCAAATCTTGGGACTTTTTTGTTCTACGTTTAGGGTAATTAAATGCAGAACCCTTGGACAGTATTTTTAAGAAAGAAGATAGCTTTTAAAGTATATATGCTCTTGATCAGAACCACTATCTGAGTCAATCTACCCATTTCTGTCTGTCCGTACACTTTTCGTCTCGTTTCTTATCCTATCAACTTGAGTAAACACCTAGTACAAATTCATCAGCAGCTAGGCTGGCATCAACAGTTCATCGATGACATCATAAGGACTATCATCAGTTTGGTTTTGTCATTAACATTTCATCGATCTCGTTAGCTAGCTAATTTGTTCAATTAATTATTTTTTTGGTAAGTTTTACAATTTAAAACACACAAAAACATGTCCTTGGAAAGTACTTGTTGTCTCCTTACAGTCACCATATTTGTTTTAATAAGCGTACATGGCTTTTTATTAAAAAGTACGCAAATCAACAGCTGAAACTGGAATAATTCTTGAGTATTTAAACAAATGCTACCGTAAGACTTAATTTTTCGCAAATTTGTGTTTACTTGACCCTGTTATACTCGAGGTTCAGGTTACGACATTCATTAGGTTCTCACGCTGATACCGAAAAGAGCAGACTTTTTTCGAAATTAAGATGTTTGCTAATGCCATTCTTGCACCCACAGAAAGCGGTATAAATAGTGCTGCCAAATCGCCAGAACAGCATCAGTTGATCGCAATCACTTTTCAACCATCGGAATGAAATTCACCTGTGTCCTGCTCCTTTTGGGCACCGTGGCGTGTTTCCTGGTGAACCAGTCCAGTGCGGCCAGTTCCACAACCACGACGGAATCAACCACCTCCACCACCAGTACAACCACAGTCTCGTCTACGTCTACCACTACTGCGTCAACCACAACCACGACCACGACCGCATCTTCCGCCAAGAAGGCCGTCGTGACCAAATATAGGAGAACGATCAACCGCCCCAAGAAGGTCAAGAAGATACGTCACAAGAAAAAGCAGTGCAGGAAGAACCGAAAAAGCCGAAAAAACCGAAGGGGTTAAACTCCCTTAGAACACACACGACCTGATCCAGATCCCCCCTCCCAATTTCCCAACTTTATGATATCTAACTACTAAAAAGCTTTATAATTATACCTTGTTCGTTTATTAGCATTATTAAAATAATACAACATAATTATAGAACTTCTATCAGCAGTTAAGAAAAGTTTAAATATTGCAGGGTTATGCAAATAAATACATGTTTCTTCTTTTATTGTAGGATTTGAAAAAATATTCTCATATAAACCGAACCAACTGTTCTTAGTAGTATCAAAATCTTATGTTTTCTTTGAAAACTAACCTAAAGAGAGTCACTACCGAATGATCTTTTTCATCTCAGCCCGGAATTGTGCAACAGATGCCATGGCTTTCTGATCCTTCTGCTCAGCCATCAAACTCAACCAGATCGATTGAAAGTCCTCTTTCGAGAGGATGTCCTTAAATATACGTTCTACCTCGTCCTTGCTACGCAATACTTTAAAGTCACTTGGCCATAAGCCGCATAGGGTAGATAAGTCTGGGTTCAGAACATCCTTGACACGTGTGTCATCCGCGTCCTTCTGAATGAGATTCTTTCGAGGGTGGTTGAAGTTTCGGCCTTGAGAGGGTTTCTTTACCAAATCCGCGCACAACTGCCGATAGGCGGTTTCTTGGTTATACACCACCTTCGGCATGGGTGAAATGGATCCAATCAATGGCAGCGGCTTCAGTATGGAGAGGAGTTCGCACAGACCCACGTACTTCACTCGTTCCGAGCAGCATCCCTCGTCCACGAACAACTTGAAGTGGGAGGCAGCGGTGCGGATTTTCTCCGCAGTTGCCGGAATATTCAACCTATGCATCACGTGGATGACCTCTGCCAGTGGAAGATGGCCATTGCCCTCATTGTCCTTATTTCCAAGAGCGCTGATAACCTGGTTCATATTGAAGTCGTCCCGCTCCTGGAGCAATTTGCGCAGCATGTTTAGGTGACTAATTGCTCTGGCCAACTTCTCGGAGGCGACGCTGGGTGCGGTATTTTCAAGAAGTGACCTCACGTCAGTATCACGAGGCAACGTCCGACCAAATGTCATATTTTCCGGGATCTGGTAGGGATACCATCTGCAATGAATTAGATGAGCTTTATGAGAAGGTAAACAAAATCTAGTATGAATAAGAACAAGTGTTCTTGGCTTGAGAAATAACTTAATTTCAAGAAGAATAGTTCTCGAATTTAAGTATTGAATATCTCGTTTCCAGGAATAAATCGTTCTTGATTTTAATAAATATCTCTCTGCTTCCGAGACGAAACTCTTCTTGTTTTTAAGAGCGAGTTCTTCTGGATTTCAGTATTAAAGCGTTCTTGATATTAAAACTATTTTCTTCTTGATTAAAACCATACCCCACTTTCTATCGTAGATTCTGGTTGACTTTGATAGGCAATCGCATTAAAAAAACTAAAGTATCCTTTAACTAAACTAAAACAAAAAAATTTGGTCTTCAATTTCTCGGTATCCCTAGTACTCTTAAATATTTAAACAAGACCAGCGATCAGTATAACAATAACATTTCAATACTCACGTGTACTTTTTTCCCAATGGACCTTTGGTGCGATCGTCTAAATCCTTTTGGGGCTTCTTGACTATTATCAAGTGTTCCTCGCCTTCCTGCAAGCAGCGTTTTACCCTAATACCGGAAGAATCTACACAGGCTGGTAAGCCAAATGTGTTGAACCGGCTAAAGGGTTTTGAATATCTACCCAACAAAATACTGAATTTAGTCTTTAAAATAATTAAAATAAGTTGTCAAACCGACCGTCGATTGATCTGTTCCGAGGGGAAGTAGTGATTGTGACTGACGATGTGTTTATCGTGGAATTCGGCAAACTCTCGGTTGACCTGCTCGGCAGGTTTCGGCGGAAGTACAACACAGTAGAGGGAATCTTCGGGTTCAGGAACACAAGTACGACCGAAAGTACGGCTCAAATTGGTCACATAGTCCGGTTTTGAGTGGGTTTCCTTGACTTCCCCCAAAGCAGGCTTTTTAGAGAACATACTCTCGCGAAACCTGTTCTGAAATTCGGCAAAGAGCCCCTTTTCGCTATTGCTTAAAATGTCTCCGATCTGATTAGTGGGAATCTTGGGCGTTCGTTTCGAAGGATTGGGCCTGCTCTGCCGACAAAGTGCCCTTATACGGTTCTCCGCCTCCTCCTCCATGTGCACGGCTAATAAGAGATCCTTGGTGCCGTAGGTTTCCAAGGACGATGCCAATCCTGCCGCCCTCATTTCGGGGTTTCTGTCTATGTAACGGCCTAAGTTTGCCATTTGTATTGTTTCGATCTAGTAAAGTGGGTATACTATATATGTGTGCTATCTGTAGGTATTGAAATTTCTGAATGGGACAACTTTGATTGCTTTTGAAATGTATTAGTAAGTGCATTTATTATACTTTCTTTGTAATTTCACAACCATTTTATAATGTTATGTAAATAAAGTGTAATATATTTTAGGTGGCTGAAATTTTAAGGATCTCTGCACGAAACTGTGCGACTGAGGCCATTTCTTCTTGATCCGGTTTTTTGTTCTCCTGATTCTTGTTTAGACACTGCCAAATGCCTTCAAATTCGTCTTCAGAGAGTACCTTCTCGAATATCCTCTGCATTTGATCCTTGTTCCGTGGGCAGCTCATGTCACTGGGTCTCAGGCCAATCCTGGTGGCCAGTTCCGGCTCTACGATATCCCTGACATGTGTGTTGACATCATCTCTGTGATGAGGACTCCAGCTGGGCTGGTTGGCAACTATCCCCTCAGGAGCATTTTTCATACGATCTTTACATAGACTACCATAGGTTGTTTCCTTGTTGTACATATTATCCGGCACGGTCGCAATGGATCCCACATTTGGTAGGGGTTGCTGGACGGAGAGCAGGCGGCAAAAGAGATCGTAATTCACCCGTTCCGTGGGACAACCCTCATCTAGGATCTGCTGGAAGTGCGATAGCATGGTGCGGATCTTCGCCGCATCCACACGGATGTGCAGCTTGTGCATGGTCTCCAGGATCTGGGCGAGGGACATGTGACCCGTGTGCTCCTTGTCGCTCCTCTCCAGCAGCGCGATCAGGTCCATCATGTAGAAGTCATTCCGCTTGTGGAGGCTCTCGCGAAGCCTGTTCAAATAGGACAAGGCATTCACCAAGGTGTCGTCCTGCTCACATGGCCTGATGTCCTCCAGCAGCATTTTGATGCTACATTTATCCGATCGACGGCTATGGCCAAAGTACATGTCCGGCACTTCATCTAGGTATCTAGGAAAAAACAAGACGGCCTCGACTATCAGATACCTATTACTCATTTAAGAGGAGTGCGAGAGAGATGGAGATAGGCAAGCATGAAAGCGACTGTTTTCAAGATTGCACACTTCGCAACAGCGCCAACTAGCGTCGAATTCTTTATTTGCTTATAACTTTTAAATGGATGGACCGATTAGAACACTTTTTGGCATGAAGATAGGTGTTAATAATAATACAAATATTAATACAGGCGGACAGACGGATAAGGCTAGATCGACGCCGCTTGTGATCCTGATCCAGAATATAGAACATACTTTATAATGTCGGAAACACTTCCTTCTACCTGTTACATCATTTTCGACGAATCTAGTATACCCTCTTACTCTTTTAGTAACTGGTATAAGCTAGAGACTTTTTTGGGTTAGTTGACTTTGATTGGAATATTATTTGTTTTTATCAGATCTAATAAAAACTATTAAAATATTAGTCCAACCATCTGAGCAATTTGCGTCTTAATAATTGAAATGCTTAGGTCTTAATTATCCACACTTGAACAAACAACCACGAACAACCTTAAGTCAATGTTGCAAATAATTAACTTTCTGACGTAAGCAGAACTACATATTTGCAAATTAAAGCTACTGGGAATGTAAATTTGTACAACTACTTAAAAAGTATTTAAATGAAGGAATACTCACTTCTTGTATTTCTTTCCCAAGGGACCTCTAGTCCGTTTGACGTAGTCCATCCATGGTTTGGAGACCACAGTTAAGTGCTCGTCACCTTGCTTCAAACACTTTTTCATCGTTGAACCACTGTGCTCAGCTCCCAGCAAAACTCCAAAGGTTCCAGACCGATCAAAGGGTTTTGTATATCTAAAAAAATAATAAATAATATTTTTAAGTGATTCTTAGGGAAAGACATAGTTTTATCAAAATCGATTAAATCTAGTTATGTGGTAGTACTTATGAACCGGTTTTAAACTGTTTTTCTCACAAAAAAGGTCTTCGCCAATATATATTATACCATATATAAAATATATACCAAAATTAACATAGTTTTTCTAATTGCTTATAAAGCCAAATCGAACAGAACAGGCCTTTAAAAAAATAAACTTCCAACCAACCTGCGATTGACCTGCTCCGAGGGAAAGTAGTGATTGTTGCTGACAATGTGGCCTCGATGAAACTCGCCGTATTCCCTATTAACCTGCTCGGCCGACTTTTCAGGCATTATAGTGCTATATAGAGTGTCTGCCGGTGGGTTAGCGAGTCCAAAAGTACGGCTCCAATTGGTCACGTCGTCCGGTTTCGAATGCGTGGGCACTATTTGCGCTACTTTCCCAGACTTACAGTACATGTCCTCGAGAAACTTCTCCTTGAAGGTGGTGAAGCGTGACTTTTGACTTTCACTGCTGAGGACATCGCCGATACTGCCATCTGGAATAAATGGCTGAAGTTTTCCGATCGGCAGTGGTCGGTTCCTTCTGCACTCTGTTTCTATACGACTGCGTATTTCATCCGCCGGATGCGCAATGATCAGGCAATCCTTGGATGTCAGCTTTTCGGGTCCGAAGGAGGGCAACCCGGCAGCCCGCTTGGTGCCATTCCTCTCGATGAAGTGTCCTTTGTTCGCCATCGTCAGCGTCTTTTGTTTGTTTCCTATCCTGGTTGTATGTTATGTATGGAGTGTTCTCTGGGTGTCTTTAATTTTCGAAGTGAACTCGATTTATCTGTCATCTCGAAAATCTCATATTTTGTCTAGATTTCCATCGCATAGGCTCTTAAGTTTGGCAACATTAGGGCTTCAACGGAAGTGTTATAGATATATTTTCCAAACAAATTAGCTTGCAATACATCGGCTCCCTAATAACTAATATAATGACAGAAGTAAAAGGGAACAATAAATTTTGCAAATGTATTAGAACTCCCAGAACTGGTATTATTATCAAGCTCAAGATTAATTAGTAAAAGAAAGAACAATACCCTTTTTCTTTGCCCTACAAATATTTGATTCAGAGATAATATCTTGTGTTTTTTCATTAAAAACAGACAGCTTCAACAGTAAGTTAAATAACTTGAGAAAAGAATTAAGAAATAAGTTATTGCTGTATTGTAATATCATATTTTATTTTAATTCGTTTGTCAATAATTTGATTAATTTTAGAAGGCTAAGATGTTAAGGGAATACCCTCTTGGCATCTTTACCCTTTCTTGTGGGTCACAATCACGACGGTCTTGTGGCACCTTCTAGGATTCGCGCACTTCGTGTTGGGGATGCGGGTGTGGCACCAGTTGTTGCCCTTCCAACAACGCTTCTTGTGGGTGGAAGAGGCTGTTGTGGTGGTTGTTGCATCAGTGGTTGTGGTTGATGTAGAGGCAGCTGTTGTAGTTGTTGTGGAAGTTTGAGAATAGGCCACCTGAATAGCCACGGCGATAAGGGCAACCACAAAGAGGAACTTCATCTTGAAGGATTCAGGAATTTTTGGAACAAGCTGACCCAATTGAGAAGTACAGGAGACAAGACCTTATCAAAATGATATTCCGAGTGTTGTGATTAATTGGAGTGGTATGTAATCTTTTTATAAGTGAATTTCGGTATGTCTATGTTTCTATCTTCCTATTTTACTTCCTGTTTAATCATTTCCTTACAATGGAGTTAACAAGTCTATTGGAATATCAATGTTCAATATTATTTCAATTATCCAAATAATCACAAAGCACAACGGCTCACTGGCATATAAAGACACCTGAACAATGTGTGACACAAATTAATTCCAGCTTTATATTTACTTAACAATATGTGACTGGGAGCGCACACCCAAGCGAATAGACCAAACATATTTGTTCTTAAGTTAAGACATAGAGCAAAAAAATGAGTCTTGATTTTTCTTGAGCGCAACTTCCATAAAACATTTGATTTAGCTTTTTAAAAATATTTTTCTAAATTTACGATCAGTGATTCAGACAGCGTTTTCACTGCTTGAGATTGTAATGGGCTGCTAAATCTTCTTTTTGTGTGCTGGCGTAAGTTCGAGACTTAGACTTCTTGAAGTCCAAGCCGACATGACCGAGAGTTGGCCAAAACGTCTCTTTATACCCGTTACTCGTAGAGTAAAAGGGTATACTAGATTCGTCGGAAAGTATGTAACAGGCAGAAGGAAGCGTTTCCGACCCCATAAAGTATATATATTCTTGATCAGGATCACTAGCCGAGTCGATCTAGCCATGTCCGTCTGTCCGTCTGTCTGTCCGGATGAACGCTGAGATCTCGGAAACTATGAGAGCTAGGCTATTGAGATTTGGCGTACAGATTCCTGAGCTTCTTACGCAGCGCAAGTTTGTTTCAGTAGACTGCCACGCCCACTCTAACGCCCACAAACCGCCCAAAACTGTAACTCCTACAGTTTTGATGCTAGATAGAAAATTTTAACTGAAATGTATTGTTCTTATCAATACCTATCGATTGACCCAAAAAAGTTTGCCACGCCCACTTAAACGCCCACAAACCGCGAAAACCTGTGACGCCCACAATTTGCATGCTAGATAAAAAATGTTAACTGAAATGTATTGGTGTCGTCAATACCTATCGATTGATCCAAAAATAAATTTGCTACGCCCACTCCAACGCCCATAACGCTTAAATCTGTCTACCGCCGGTAGGTGGCGCATTTTAATCTCGCTTTGCTGCTTGCATATCTCCATTTCCCTTTGAGTAACGGGTATCTGATAGTCGAGGTACTCGACTATAGCGTTCTTCCTTGTTTCAATATATAAAGATAGGGATTAGTACGCAATCGATCTAGCCATTTCCGTCTGTTCGTCTCAATCTCAGAAACTAGAAAATCTGCCAAGTTTATTGAAGCATACAGATTCTAGTTTCAGCGAAGGGCCACGACCACTCTAACGCCCACAAGCGCCCATAACTCTTATGTTCGTCTGGTGCCCACAATTTTTAAGATTTTTTTTTCAGTGTACATTTAATTTGAATTCGTTCTTTGAAGAGCTTATGAAAATGAGAACATTTGCAGTATGTCGTTTCGAGGGCTCCATCTCGGGACTGCGTTCTTCTGAGGAAATATTTTAAATTCAAAGCCGCAAACCCTCTACCCGCTGGGGTATGCTGTAGTCAGTTAATTTAAGAACGTTTGTTTTGATTTTGAAATACGATTGCTTTGACTTTAAGAATGTTTGTGCTCATATTGTCCCATATGTGATCGAATTTTTGTCATTCACTGCATTGTAAGCCTCTTAATATAATTGATATAATTATCATTGATATATTATTATAATAAATATAATAAAACAAAAAACTGCATTTGCTTAGAGATTTATTTTAAATTTTTAAAAATTCAGGTCTTCCTGTGGGCTACTATCACAGTAGTCTATGCGATAAGGGGGAACACGAAGAGGAACTTCATCTTATACGATCCCTGGATCCTTGGCCACTACTGATAAATCTGAAGGGAGAAGGGAGCGCTACCCTATTGAAATGGTTCTTGAGAGTGTTGTGATCCACCGTAGTAAAATTATATTTCTTTATAAGCAAATTCAGATAAGTTTTGTTTATTTGCTTATATTTATTGGTATTATGTACATTGTACACTTGATAAATTAAAAATAAATTTCAAATTTGCCCTGAAACCAAATAAGTACTCTGAAAAAAGGCTTTTAAAATATATAATTTTCTTTTTTCATCCACTGCGATTTCAATAAGCTTTAGATATGGAAATATTGATTATAATTAATGTTTATATAAAGATTTTAAGCTTTAAATAACCGTTAAAAATCATTGATTCAAATCTTTTCAAAGTAAATTATGCTTTTTTTTCGAGTTATTTTTTAACATTTTACTTTATATCGAAAAAGGTATATTTCGAGTTATGTACCCATTTCTAAAATTATGTTTATATCCGTTACTCGTAAAGTAAAGAAGGAAGAAGGAAGCTTCTTTGATCACCAAAACTAGCCGAGTCAGTATAACCTTAAACAAATATTTGTTTGCATTTAAAGAAACGTTTTTCTTGTAGATGTATATCTAATATTTCAGACAGTTCCAGAGGATCTACATAAAAATGGGTATATTTATCCGCTAAAAAGTAGCTCAAATAGAATTGAAGGCAATTCCAAACAAACTTTAAAATAGCATTACAAATAAAACACAGAAGTTTTGAGGATTAATTATACCCGTTACTCGTAGAGTAAAAGGGTATACTAGATTCGTCGGAAAGTATGTAACAGGCAGAAGGAAGCGTTTCCGACCCCATAAAGTATATATATTCTTGATCAGGATCACTAGCCGAGTCGATCTAGCCATGTCCGTCTGTCCGTATGAACGCTGAGATCTCGGAAACTATGAGAGTTACAATACTGGGATTAGGCACGCAGATTCCTGAGATTCCTGCGCAGCGCAAGTTTGTTTCAGTACAGTGCCACGCCCACTCTAACGCCCACAAACCGCCCAAAACTGTGGCTCCTACAGTTTTGATGCTAGATAGAAAATTTTAACTGAAATGTATTGTTCTCATCAATACCTATCGATTGACCCAAAAAAAAGTTTCCCACGCCCACTTTAATGCCCACAAACCGCGAAAACCTGTGACGCCCACAACTTTCATGCTAGATAAAAAAATTTAACTGAAATGTATTGGTCTCGTCAATACCTATCGATTGGTCCAAAAAAAAATTTGCCACGCCCACTCTAACGCCCATAACGCTTAAATCTGTATACCGCCGGTAGGTGGCGCATTTTAATCTCGCTTTGCTACTTGCATATCTCTATTTAACTGAGTAACGGGTATCTGATAGTCGTGGTACTCGACTATAGCGTTCTTCCCTGTTTTGATATGAAAAACCTCTGGATTTCTCAGTTCACCCTGGGTAAGTTTGCGTGCTTCATTGGCTGGCAGTAAAGTCTTTAAATTTCGAAAGATATTCTTAGTTTAGAGAATACAGAAAATCATAAAAAAAAGTCTTTTAAATCAATCATTTTATTACTATTTTATAACAACTTCAAGTCCAGGAATCTTTATCCTTTCTTGTGGGTCACAATCACGACGGTCTTGTGGCACCTCCTAGGGTTCGCGCACTTCGTGTTGGGGATGCGGGTGTGGCACCAGTTGTTGCCCCTCCAACAACGCTTCTTGTGGGTGGAAGAGGCGGTTGTGGTGGTTGTTGCATCAGTGGTTGTGGTTGATGTAGAGGCAGCTGTTGTAGTTGTTGTGGAAGTTTGAGAATAGGCCACCTGAATAGCCAAGGCAATAAGAGCAACCACGAAAAGGAATTTCATCTTGAAGAATGCTGAGGTTTTGGAGACTGCTGATGAAACTGTAGAAAAGACAGGCTAATGTTTTCTGATTTGCTGGAGTGAGCACAAACTCTTTTATAGGGGAATTCTGCTCGTGTAGTGGTAGCCAGTACATTTGCCAAGCAAATATTCTTAACATGATTTCCTCTCTGCAGAAGTATTAAGACTATTAAACTCAAATCAATATCAATAAGTCAAATATTTGCCATATATATGGGCCACTTTATGGCCCACTGACATGTAAAGACAGCTGTTCACACCGATTATATCAGCAATAGATAGCTAAACATAGTAAGTGGGAAGTCGAAATTGAACAAATAAAGCAAGAAGTAATACACATACGATTATTTCAACTATTTAGCCGTTGTTATAATATATTTTTGAGCTATCTGGCTTTG